GAAATGAAAAAACGAAGCAAGAAGTAATCCAATGTTACTATAATTTTGGAGAACTCTTATCGCAACGTTTCTATTTTCATTATAGTCAAGTTAAGAATGACCAGATGGCTCAAGTGGAAGTTAACAAGGAAGCCAGAGAACAATTACCTAGCAATATTTCGGAAGATGCTTTTAAGAAGAGAACTGAAAGAGCTCGAAAGATTTACTTTCTTTTTAGTCAAGAACATATTGGAAAAGAAAAGATAGGATTAGTAAATTCTTTTACGGCATTGACTATTTCGAAGTTAAGTCTGGGCGATATTAAATATATAATAAATAAAACAAAACCTTCGTGTGAATAGTATTACTACGCCCATGACCTCGAGGTCATACCCGTGCCTAACTACGCCACACAGACGAAATATTCTTATAGTAATAGTGGTTTTAATCAATGTTAACGCAAAAATTAAAAATATTTAATGGTTTGCACATTTATTTTAACAATGTATATGCATCTCTATTGACCGTTTCAGAATTGCCTGTTACATGAGATGCGATTCTCATAATCTTTGATCTTCCGCGATCCACTTTTTCAAGTATATAATCGTGTAGTTACCTCCAATTTTTTACTTGACCATATACCTTTCATGAAAATCAGAAGGAAATCCGAGAATATATTTTTCTTAGACGCGATGAAATAGTTGATTGTCTTTTTCATATCGTTTTTTTAAATTATATTGATGAATTAGTAGAAAATTCAAATTTGATAATCTACCCGCATAATCAATCTGATAATAATAATATTATTATTATCGTACGACATTTATGGGGCTGTGCAACAAAAATTATTTTTAGGTTTTCAAAATTTTGATGCGTACAACCACCTGACTATAATATGCATGCGCGATTAACCAAATTCGATTAATTAGCATTCATGTACATTATGAGAGGAATTCTTGGCGTAAATATATTCATTCGAGGAAGACATAGAAGGAAAATGCTTAAAAGGGTAGTTTTGTGTAGTTTGAAACTTCTAATTTTGTTTTTTTGCGCATCCACTAATATTATATCTTAAATTAATATATAAACATGTCTACCGATTTATATGCAAAAATTTATAACTTTTTGGTAAGTGCACAATTAGAGCATATTACTGCCGTCTCAGTTATTTATCAAGGCATAGAAGAAGAACCCTGGATATTACAAAATGAGCTAAGAAGTATTGTAGATCGGGCAGTAACATCTGCTAGCAATTTTTATGATGAGGGGTCTCCATACTTATTGAAATTTTTCCGTATTCTTACTCAGGTTTGTTAAGATTTTTTTATAAATGTCATTCCTTTCATATGATGATTTATGTGGTCCACTCGCAAATACGGGTGCTGAAAAGGTAGTATTAGCCTGCAACTAAAGGAATTGTTTCTTGAAACTGCATGGAGGATGTTTGAACTACCGCCCATATTTTGATCATTCCATTAGCTCTGCCCCAGGAAAATTTCCCGATGCATGAGGGAGTGATTAGACTATAGGTTATAATGTGGCTATTCTAGTATCACACAAAGTTTTATTGATGTGGCGGCCGAACAGAAATAACAACTTTGCATATGTACTGATGATATATGCGTTTATTAATGATAAGATTTTTTATATAACTGAAACTAACGCATTGTAAATTTATTTTAGTTTGAAATTGCTTTTGAAGGAGTTTGTAGTTTGCGCGACATCGGAAAAGTAAAAACTTACGAGAGATTTTCCCTTAGTCCGGATGAAATTAGAAAGAATATAAATGAGTTGAAGGCAAAACTCAAGAAAAATACGTCGCCACTTTACCGAAGTCTATATACTGGTATAAATAATATGTCAATTTCGGGATTGACGTGGGAAGACCCTTTGGCCAGTCAAGTAATTAGTGACAATTCAGAGCTGGTGCATCAATTGCCGGAGCAATCTAAATATGCTTTTATGAAACCTGCACGCCTTATGATACCTCCTACTCTTCCACTTACAGTGCAAAATAAATGCAGTGATTATGTTGCTAACTTTATTGAGAATCGTATTATTGTTCCACAACGAAAACTCTCGCATGATGGCACTTGGAAAGAATCAGACAGTGAGCTCGCGAATGTTGCGGAAAGGATTTTGGATACCCTGTAAGTATGCTTTGGATAAATCAAATTTTTTAGACCTTAATTTTTATATTACTTATCTGCCTTGATTAGAAATGATTCTTGGAACAATCCGGCATTTGGGCCAGAGTTTGTAGATTCTTTAAATGAAGGTACATATGTGACCAACGTAGTAGTACCAGCGATCCGGGCGACGTTGAAGGATCTTCCTTTAGGTAAATCCACATTTGTCAGTAGTTCTGAACGACAAAGTGATGCCAGTGCAGATAGAAGGGGTGATGGGCGATCCGGAAAACGACCAGATATAATGTTTGTGATGAAACATAGTAGAAAAAATTACGAACTCCTATACGCTGAATGCTCACGCTTATCTTGTACAACACAAAAAGAAAAAGATGATCAGGTGAAATTATGGCGTGAGGTTAATGATGGGATGTTCTGGGTTCGCAAAAGTCGTAAGCCCGATAAAGATGAATTTGGAATTATAGGAGTACAGGTCGCAGGGAGAAAAATACGTCTAAGTGTTCTTATTCGAGACATGAGTGAGATCCATAGATATTATAACCTTCATGAATCAGAAATTCCTGTTCAACAGTCGGATCCTTCCATTGTATCTAAATTTGTTGAGACTTTATTAATATTGCGTAATATCCTTATCGTTAATATGACTCTACTACATAATGTACCTTTGTCTAGATCAATTAGACACCTGGAGGATAGTTCTACAATATCATCCCCACCAAGTTCACCATCCTCACATAGGTCATCATCACTAAAGAAACGAAAGCCAAATAAATAATTAGTATATTTATCTTATATTTTTATCGGACATTAACAAAACCAATAAAAGATTTTATTTACCAAATGAAACTTCGATATACCTGTTCATTGTATAATTTTTTTCAAAAAAAATATAAGAGAAATATTTTTTGCTAACCACTTTATGAGTCAAATCCGACTTATTTATAGTGTTTCATTCGCTAAATCTGAGAACCTGCTAGAAGAAAAAATTACATGATTAGTAATTACAATACCCAAACCATTTGCCAGATCCTTTCTTCGTAAAGCAAGTCAGGTCACAAACGCCAAGCACTAAATATATGAGCCATAGACTATATTTCGCCTTTTATGGGGAAATTAAACCTTTCAGTCTGACGATCGCTTTTGTAGAATAAAAAAATAAGACAAATTTTGGCGATCTCGGATCTCAAGTTCCGTAACATATGAATTTTGATATTATTACTGATAAAGAACAATAAACTCTCCTCATTCATATCCTTTTTTGAGCCTCATTCATAGTTGTTCTTATCGAAAAAGCCATATATAATAAGGAAAAGGCTTTATTATTAACATTATATATGTAACAGTAGAAAATAATTTTTAGCGGTATCACAAAAAAAAATCATTGTGAAACGAATAGTTATTATTATTATTATATATTAATATGTTTCATAGAACGTGTAAGAGGTCAGTTGATATATTTGTGCGATCATATGCAGGTATATCAAAATTGGATTAACTACACATGGTTTAGATTCTTGTTAAAAATTATGTGTATTAATATATTTTTTCGATTTGTTCCTCCTCGTTTTACTAAAAATGATTCAACTAGAATTTACACAAAAAATGAATCGCGTTTTAAGTAACATATACTTGATAAAATTAATATGTCTAAAACCCTTAATACATTATAAATCACATAATCACACTCATATAATCGATAAATAAGTCATATAAAAATGGTTACTATTCAGGATTTATGTGGTTCTAAATGTAGTGAAGAAGAATGGTCTGAATATTGCCGGATGCCAGTAGTTCGCACTAATGAAACTCCTAGCGAGTGGAAAGAACGAATCTGGGTTCGCTTACAGTATTTTAGAGAAAATGATCTTTTACCTTATGAGAGTAAAGATTATTTTAAAGCGAGAAAATTAATACAATTTTCAGATGGTAACTCATATGCTCCTTGCATAGGAATTGTTATTTGTTTATCTTGTAACCAATTAGTACATACTGGAGAGTATATTAAAAGAATGGAGAGACACTGGAAATTTTCATGTACCGGTAATAAATATTGTAGAATAAATTATGAGGAATATATGAAAATTAAACAAAAGCCTGAATCTGAACGCAATTTCGATGATAACATTGCATTAAATTATTATGAGCTGTGGAAATGCAATGCAATCAGTAGAATCGAACGTGCAAGGGAGGTTGGAAAAAAGATCCGAGCATGTACCATCATACAAAAAAAATTTATAGAATATTATTATCGCCCTGATGGACTTTGTGCTACAGAGTTAGCTAATCATTATAAAATATTATGGAGCATTCGAGAAGAAATGCGTCAGATTAATAACGTATAGATGGTTTGTGAAATAAAATATTTATCTATTTATTAATGTATAACTTATTTATCTATTTATTAATGTATAACTTATTTATCTATTTATTAATGTATAACTTATTTATATATTTTTTTATTGTCTTTAACTTGTTTCTAAAAAATCGAATTAGCGGTTGTTAAAGATGATTTACTATATTTTAGCGGAGCTAACATGGCTAATATTATGATTTACTATATTTTAATATTATGATTTATTATATTTTAGCGGAGCTAGTATGACTAATATTATGATTTACTATATTTTTAGCGTGATTCTAGCTCGACTCTAGCACAAGTATGATATTTTACATATAATTATATAGAAAAAAAAATTAGCGTGTCTTTAGCTCGACTCAAGCTCGACTTTAGCATGATTCAACCATATTTAAACTCCGGTTTTGGATTATTTTCATATTTTTCATTATTTTTATAATTTTCATAATTTTCATAATATTCATAAAGATTTTTCCATTTTTCTATACGTTGAATATAATTATACTAGCTACAACATGCCGGCAAAATTTAATCAAGCATATTCAGAATTAATCCAGAAACTACCACCCTCACTAGTGCATGAGACTTGGAAACGTCTTATTTTCAGAAAGCGGGATCCAATACCAGAAGAAGAGGCTAGTGCTGTAAATCCATTAATAGAAGCATTTTTAAGACATGAAGTTAATAGGTACCAGAAAAAAATAAAATTTCAGCGTCGAAGTTGGCCTTCATTTGAAAATTTATCGTGTATATATAATAACGAAGTTAACAAGGCTATAAAAATGGGCAATAAAGAAACTCAAACTCAAAATACTGAACCGATTTGTATATGTAATCATGAGGAGGAAATTAATTATCGCGTTAAGAAAGAAGTTAAAGTCTTATTCCAGCACTTACTGAAATTTAATGAAAGAACATTGGGGCAATTTATGCAGGAATTAGATAGAGATTATAAAGAAAGAGACGATATAAGTAATAAATTACGTTGTGAAATCGAAGAAAAAAAGTTAGAATTACGACATGCAGAAAAAGCACTTGCATATATGAAACAATAGCAGAGCCTTTAGTATAACTAAAGATTTATTTATTCATCCTATGTATTAGAAACTTCGAGAGGTTGATCCCAACCAGCACGTATAAAAAATGGATCATTTTTTTCTCTTGTTAAATCTATGACTATGAATTTACGACCATGTAAAAATTTATCAATCACTTTAACTACATTACGCCAATTATCAATATAACGACGAAGAATTCTAGTAAGATCATCTATATTACAACTACCATTGAAGAGTACTATATAATCTAAATTTTTTCTTATTATTGATGGACAATCGAAAAAACTTTGAGAAATATAAATCGAGCTAATATTAGAATGTCGTCCTTCAGTAAAATAAGGAATGATTTTTTCTTGTATCTTTTTAGATTCGCTACATACATCTTCAAATACAGCAACTGTACTTCTTTCAGGAGAATATGAATCTATACTTGGAATTTTATCCGGTTTCATAGTCCGGAACGTAATATTTTCATGATATGGTTTTGAACTATTAGCGATCATTTTATAACAGTCTCGTAGATATAAATATTTTGGTTCCTTGAGGTGATGACCAAAAAGAATTAGATCATCGTTTCGAATATAACGACTTCCTCCTTTTTTACCAGTAAACATTCGATAAAGCTTGTCACCAAGTAAGAGATTAACGACCATATTAGTTTTTCCAGAATTACTTCGACCTGAAACTAACATTTTAAATGGCCATCTAGGTCCAGCTTCATGTCCGTTGTTTTTTTCTGCGTTTTTAATTTCATCGATGTTATATACAAAAAGTTGCATAGCTTTCATTCTAGTTAAGCTAAATAACGGTAATTTTAATTGTTATATATTTTATATTATAGATAACCTTTTTCAATTAAAACGTTTTTAATATAGGGATATAAATCAGCCGTATAGGGAATCTCAATAAGATCTATACCTTCTCTTTTACATAATTCACGCTTTTTCTGATCTCGATTTTTCTGGCTTATTAAATCTACTTCTCCATTTTTTCTATGGTATAAACTATTACGATTAAAGTGTTGGACTCCATTATACTCCCAAGCTAATTTCAATTCTTCATTATATCCATCTAAGCGTAAACCATCTAGAAATTTTGGCGCACGTGGTGGAAACTTTTTACCTAATAAATCCTCAAAAATATATCGGCATCTACGTTCTTCTTTGAAATGAGGACACAATGGGCACCACTCAAATTTACGCTTCTGGGTCTTATAAGGTGCTTCCCATTGATGGAGTCCGTTTTCACATGACCAGAGAAAAACTTCCTCATCATTAATTCGACCGGTTTTTTCAAGACAACTTCCGCCATGTTTCTTAGCATAGGTACAAGCTTGATATAGATCGTTATTTAAAACCAGAATAAAATGAACTAATCGGGGATGATTCTTTTCCGATAATATACTTTGGGGTGGGTATTGAAG